AGATGCAAGATTCCAGGCTCAGACAAATGACTTTATCACTAGTGGAATAGCCAGAAAACAATATGAATTGTATTAGTTACCTTTACTCCCAATTGTCACATGGATGATGCAATTTGAGTCAAAGGCATGCTACAAAGCCGTGGGTTTGTGTCACATCTGAGGGACACTGACTTAGACGAAACCACCACTTTACAGTAAGGAATCCTCAAATCTTCTCTTTGCCCATGAAAGAGACATTACCTGATTATTCAAAACTGCTTGCTGCAAACATCCCATTGAAAAATCGTTAAGGCAGACAGCAATTTTTAGTCAGAGCTTCAGGAATTTGACACAGTCACTGAAATGTATGGCAGGTAAGACGTCCATGGAAGATGCTTCCCCCAAAACAAATGATCTCAGACAGTGCAGCTCAAAAGAATATACTCTGTTTCCTGTGAAATTTGACCCTAAAAAGAAGTCACGTTGCACTTTCTGGATCTATCTTATAATTAATTACCAAGGAATATCCAGTCTGAAAATGGGGACAACATGGCAGAACAGAAGTCAGAGATGATGAGAAATGAAGACTAAAAAGAGTTTCTAGTGGATTATGTACCAACTGGCCCCTAAGCCAGATCTTCTCACAATTTTTTACTTATGTGGCTACTTGAATTTTCATTCATTAGCATCTGTAAAATCTCTGAGTGACTTGGCCTTTGATGTGCATTATGTGATCACAGCAGCCCTGCAGAAAGCATGCCATGTTCTGAACATACAGGTGGCTTAATACGCACCATGAACATTAAGTTGCTCCACATCAAAACAAATAATTCAGTGTCAAGTCTGCTGGTGGCAAACACAGTTCTCTTAACACTTAAACTGTTAGCTCTCAAACTTTTGTGTATGTTAGAATTATCAAGTTTCCCCCTAGATCTAGTGAATCAAAGTTTTTTGAAAGAGTATAAAGAATATAAATTTTTAGCTATTACAAACTGTGCAGCCCAAATGCCCATCAACTGGTGACTGGATAAAGAAGATGTGTTTTTTAAAAATAAAATGGAGTACTACTCAGCCATAGAGAATGGAAAACTAGAGACATTTATAACTAAATGGATGCACACTGAGGCCATACTCTTAAGTGAAATAAATAGGACACACATGTGTAAATACCAAATAGTTTCTCTGGTATGAGAAACTGAAAGTGTAAATGAGGATCAAAATGTGCAATAGATAAAGTGAAATAGGAAGAAAAGGTCTCAAGGGAAAGAGGAAGTGGGAGGAGTAGGGGAAAGGAAAGTAGGGAAAGGAAAAAATATGAAAAAAGGAAACAATGGAAACAAAGTCTTTGTAAATAGGGAGGGGTAGAGGGGTTGAAGAGAGAGCAGGAGAATGGGGGAAAAATAAGAACCAAGATATATCATGTACAGGTACAAATTCCCAATGATGAATGTCGTCATATTGTATATCTAAAATGTACTGATAGATTTGATGAATAAAAACTATCATTTTGAGAAAAGAATACAAATTTTTATAAGTTCTCTGGTGATTTTTATGCAGGACTTATGGACTACTTGTGAAATGTTTACCTTAGAAGATTTCAAGGATTGCAGCCTAATGTTCTAATATGATATTCTTATTTTAAAAATCTTGCTTTTGAGCATAAGAGAACAATATGTGAAGCCTTGTCAGTTATACAAACCATAAATCATAGGAAAAAATAAAGATCTCTTCTGAGACTTTTACTAGAAAAGTGAGAAAAGTTAGAAAAGTGTCCTGAGCTAGGAAAAGAAGTAGAAATTTAACCTTAAAAGATAAAGTGAGAAAAAAAGCATTGAAGTTTTATTTTACCAATAATTGCCTAAAATGTCTTTTTAAATTACTTTGTGTGTGCATTATGTATATATGTGTGTTTAAAATCCAAATACCAGAGCTTATACATAGGGAGATTTGAGTCTTTTGAAAAACAGTTATCTGCTTGGGTTGCTAGTCACAGTGGCTCATTTGATATAAAGGAGAATGTTTAATTTATTTATTGACATTGAATAGATATCTTGCCATTACTAATAATATTAACTAGATTAATTAATTGTTCAAGGGTAATAGAGACAGGAAGAACACATTGAGAGCTATTGTTCATTGATATTTGGGATATCCTTTCCCCAAATAGTCATGTAAGTCATGTGTGCTATTCTACAATATTATCTTGCTTGCCTATCATGTCTTGAGTTTCTCTCTCTAAAATTTAAGTTAACTTTTTTTTTTTTGGTACCAGGAATCAAACTTGGGACCTTGCACTTGCAAGGCAGGTAGTGGAAACACTGAGCTAAATCCCTGGCCCCAGTTGACTTTTTTTTTAAATTAACTTTATTGGTACATTTTAGGTATACAATACAGTTACATTCATCATTGGGAACTTGTACCTTTACATGATGTATCTTGGTTCTTCTTTTTCCCCCTTTCCCCTGCCCTCCTTTCACTATTGACTTTCTAATTAGATATTATTCCTGAAAAAGTCAGAACTATTTTTGTACATAGTAATTTTTACAGTGAACTCCTTGACATAATATGGTGCTTCCCAGGTGGAACCCAATACATGGTAAAACTTCCTTAAATTCTTAAATTGGGAGTACTTCAGTTTTTATCTGTAATAGTTCCTGTCATATAGGACTGAGGAGAGGGCTAGAGTTAAACTTCTCTGAAGAGATAGTAGGTCAGCTAATAGCATTTACCACTTCTCACTTCCCTTTATGCATCTCATTCCCTGAAAATTGAAGACTTGGACAATCTAGTATAAAGATATATTTATTTTTGAGTTTTAAGTTTATTATTACTCCAAATAACTGTGGTAGCATCCTTATAGTTTCAGCTTTAAATGGGTATAATATTTCTAGCTTTTGGCTAAGATTGAGCTTGATATTTATTTTGACAATAATTTACTATCAAAGTGAACATTTCACTAGAAGACTTTTATTAAAAATCACATCTCCTTTGAAGGTGACATTCCTCTTCCCACAGTTTGAGAAGCACTTATTTTATTTCAGTTTGCACTAGTAACTTCAGTTCACAGGCCTCTTCATCCTTGTCATTGCTTTGGAAATATCTTCCATTTCTTTTATAGTTGAAATCAGAAGCTGGGCATTTCTGATTGCTCCTAACATTGTCTCTTTACACACATGCTCCCTGTAATACTCTGTCTCCAGACAGTTAATAAAATAGTAAGTGATCACTTGCAATGTTATCTCTCTACTCACCTTCGCCTGGGGAAAGCATGTCACAATGCAGGACCTGTCTGCCTGGTTTTAAAGCCAACAAACTGAAATTTATTGGATGAGAAGCATGCTATCCATCTGAATATGTGGAAGAAGTTCTCATTAGCTCAGTGTAGCTCAAGAAATCAACAGCACAGACTTTGCAAAAGTGTGACTTGTAAGCTTTCACTACTGTAACAGTGACCAATGTGAATGTCTCTGAACCAATTCAGTTAAATAACTAACTTCTCTGATGTGGTACTTCAGGATAAAAAAGAGATCAAGCTAGTTGTGACAAAAACATAACCCTAACACCGAAGAGCTTTTAAAGAAGGTTTATACAGTATCAATTTATTTAACATAGGTTTGAAATATATTACAAATTTTTAAAACGCATTTTCCATACCATTTTTCAGGGGAACTTCCTGCCATTGGTCTTAGGCTAGAGCAACATACTCAACAATTATTACAATGGTCATAGTTAAAATGGATGAGACATCAAAATTTTTAAACTATGATCCTTTCCTGTGGGTGTCCTGTGAGAGGATGGCCTGGGAGATACTACTACGGGAACCCAGAGGTCGCCTATAAGTGAGATAATGGTTCACAGATACTAAACTGACAGATCTTAACTTCCTTTGTAAATCATGCTTCCTATCAGTTTCTCCCTCTGAAATGAGGCTCATGATCTTAGGGTTGGAGACTTGTTTTCAATGTAAAAATGCTGGGAAATCAGGCACGTGTGTGGGTTTGGTTAGGAAGTGAGGATTTGCTAAATATATTTTCCCTGCTATAGCATATGAAGAGCTAAGACTGAAGTACTCAACTTCTGTGGTTTTCCTCTAGTGTAAAGGTGATGTGGGAAGCATGAAACATTTTCATAAGTGAAGTTGGCAACGATAAAGAGAGATGCACCACAGAGAACCCTGTGAAAGGAGAGTGACATGGTCAGAGAGAGGAGATCCTGAGGGCCACCAATCCAAGCTACCCTCCTTCCCTTCTAACTACTGAACTCTGAACTTGAAGGCTCACCAAGGGCTGCAGTGGCAGGCAGAAGTGACTCTTCAGCAGAGACTGGGGTAGCCCAGTAGACTGGTGGGCTGTCTGAAGACTTGGGAAGACACTGGAGAGGGGAAGTTGTCAGAAGCTGAGGTGCAGCCCTCACCAAAATGAGAAGTCCTGTCACAGGCTCTGGCTGCTGCAGTTTCATCAAATTACACCCAGGATGGAGCCAGATCCACAAGTGACCTGGTCTCAGAGAGCAAAAGACAGAGAAGGCCCTTCTCCCAGGGACTCCACTAATTCTCCAATAGGATGTGCAAAATCTCCCCACATTCTGTCTAAAGTCATTTTCCAGATCACAAAAGAGCAAGAGGAAGCCAGCTGAGAGATTGTCCAAACTTATGGAAATGAAGTTTTGAAATTAAAAATCGTAGCTATTGAAATTATTAGCGCAGGGGCTAGAGGTGTAGCTCAGAAATAGAGTAGAAGTAGCACGCAAGAGGCCTTGGATCTGATCCCCTGCACAGCTCAATAAATAAAAAAGCAAATAGCTTAATTGGGTGTGGTAAAGTTTGTTACTTTTTTTTTTCTCTCAGCTAACCAGTTGAAAAGTGCTTGAAATAATGTTTAGATTCATTAAATCAAAAATAACAGGACTGGGGATTTAGCTCAGTGGTGCTGCTGCCTGCCTGCCTTGGCAAGTGTAAGGTCCTGAGTTAAAAAAAACCAACTAGGGTAGGGGTTGCAGTTGTAGCTCAGTGAGAGACATATGCTTAGAATGGACAAGGCCCTGGGTTCTAACCTTAGCAGTAAATAAATAAATAAATAAAATTTTGAAGTTGTTTTCTTTGCTACATCTAAGTTGGAAGTCTAATTTTCCATTTGTCACTCACTTTGCTATAGTTTTTTTAAAAAATCATATAAAGACCAAAGTTCAGCCATCCTTGTCACATTGAGATAATGAACAGCACTCTATTAAGGTTGGAGTTACGGAGCATTTGAAGTGCCCACCTCCCACTCTGGTCCTAGAATTACTGCTGCTCTTGTCTACTTGGAAAATACTTCTTTCTGTTTATTTTGTTATGAAAATAAAACTACTGCAAAAATTGAAGTCTTTAAAAAATGCTCCCCTAGTGTTTTCTTGCAGTCTTCCAGGATGGAAATAGCCATCACTGAACACAGCATAGAACAGCTCCTTCTTCTTTTATGTTCCTTATGTTGAAATCTGATTTTCCTATTTCTTTTAACCACTAAGCTCCACAACACTTTTTTTTTTTTGGTACCAGGGATCGAACTCAGGACCTTATGCTTGTGAGGCAGGCTACTGCACCACTGAGCTAAATCCCTGGCCCCCACTTTTAAGAAATATTTTTCCGTATCATTATCTCTTCTTCAGATGTAGATCAGCACTTACTTAGCTCCGACAACAGTCTGAGGTCATAAATGAGGGCAGACAGTAATTTAATCTGTGAGAGATAGAGAGATATTGTCTACTTGGTTTGGTGACAACAGAGTGCAAACCAGGGCATTGTTTCTTATCCATACGACTCAACTGTTTCTCTCTCTCTCTCTGAATTAACAGAACTTTCTTTAAAGAAAATAACTGCAATCTTGGTTAAATTTCCAAAGATAATCTGAAGTCAAGCCTCGGTTGTGTGTGTGTGTTTGTGTGTGTGCGTGTGTTTGTGTGTGTGCATGTGTTCAAGTAATCCATTAAAACAGTAAGATTCAAGCGCCAGTCAGAGAACTTGCTGTAGCATCATACATCTGTTTATTTAGTTAGTATCACAATGATAACAGGTTAAAAGCACTAGATTTATATCCTGTTAAGAGTATGATGATCAAGATTTCAATTTGTAAATTCCATGTTCTTAAACATTAAAAACCTATTTTCCAAAAGAGTAATAATATATAGTATTAAGGGACAGATCTAAACTTTCTGATTTCTGATCAAAAGCATATTTGTTCATCAGTTTAAATTAAACATTAGAGACATTTAACTGTTGGTTACTGCTTTTAGAAAAGCACAATGTTGAAGCAAATATACAGGAAACACCTTCAGAAAAGTAAGTTCAACCATTGTGTACCATGTCAGTGAGAGAACCTGAGAATCCCAGATTATTGTCTCCAGATCATTGTAATACACTCTGGCTTATTTCAACAATCAAGCAGCAAACATGTGTCTAGTGCATACTATGTACAAGCCAGCATACTAAGCAACACAAGAAATACAAAGAAGTAAAATTGTTGCTCCTTGCCCTGCTTGGATTTCCAAAGTAGCTGGCAAGATTAAACATAAACACAAATAATTTCATTTCCAATGTTCTCACAAACTAGTGGATATATAAACTGGATTGCAAGAATCACGTCTGCTGGAACGTAAAAGAAGTAGGGACATCCTCAGCAGTGATTAAAGTCTTTGAATTAGATTTCTCAGTTCCAGGTTGAGTGCTACTTGCAGCTCTAAACCTGAAAGTTTTCCAGCCAGAATCACTTCTGTCACTGTTAGTGGCTATACTTGGAATTGTTTCATGGACTCATGACAATGGGACCAGATAAACAAATATATATATGAGTATACACAAACATACATACCCACACACACACTAAAATCACATATAGGGTGATGCTTCCCCTATACGTTTCCTGGAAACCCAGGAGTTTGGGGCTTTTTACTCTGCATGGAAAGAAGCTAGCCCCCATTGTCATTTATTTATTAGTATTATAAGACAAGCCACTACAATAAGAAAAATAGGAAAAATCTCCAAATTTCACTGAATAGTGAGAAAATAGACATACTAGAGGAAAAGATAAGAAAAGAGGGTCCAGCAGAGAGAAGGGTTTGAGGAGACCTTGGAGTAGGGGGAAAGTTTCCTCCATTCCCTCCACTCCAATCCCTAGAGTCCCCAAGAAACCGCCTGAGCTAGGCAAGGGGAGAAAAGGAAAGCAGAAACACATTTCCCAACACTACAAATAAATAAATAAATAAATATGGGAAACAAGAAAATAACTTGGTAGGCACCGCTTGAAAGGGAGCAACCGTCACAGGCCAGATGGACTGCACTCCAGCCTGCGGCTGCGGCTACATGGCCAACTTTGGCCACTGATCTAAGTTGTCACCCTAGACCACTGCCCCGCTGCCTCTAGAGACCTATACAGGACCTGGAAATCCAGGGTGGCCCCATTCTTCGGTCAAGTGGACTCCTCTAGAAACTTGGGGAGGGAGCTGCCTTGCTTCAGTGAGTGCAGCGGCCTGGAAAAGTCCCCCCCCCCCCCGCCGCGCTAGACACAGAGGAGTAGGGAGAACGGAATTTTGAAAGTGAGAGCCAGGCAGGAGGGTGGCTTCTAGCCGCGCCCTCCCGACCCAGAGATCTTCTACAAAGGCTTGTTCTCCCGCTCCTTTTGCTCAAAGAGGGGGAGGTGGTGGGACGTCGCGGAGACTGACTGGGGTGGGAACCACAAGACCTGTTTTACTTACTAAGCACCTGGCTCCACTCTGGGCGGAGTGGGAGCTGCGGAGGGTCCCAGGGAAACATGCTGCCCAGTTCATTTCTAAGTGCGACTTCTCTCCAAGTTCAGGTCTGCCTAGTTCAGTCTCAAGTGGACTTGCCTTAAAGTAAAACTCCTCCAAAGGAGAGCGGTAGTTCTCCATTTCCTGAGGAGCGCCAGGGCAGGCCTGGGGGAGAGGTGGGAGCCTACTCGGAGGGCAACTCGTGGCTACAACCTTGGCTCAGTTTAAACAAACAGAAATAACAGCTGGAGAGGCTGCGGATGGACAGCGGCGGCGGCGTTGAGTCGGCGATCTGCACCCGGGGCGGGACGGTGAGGAAAGAAGGATTTCCAAGGCGTGGGGATCAGAGGGATTGACAGCAGCAAGCTCAGCGGAGGAAAAGGCCCAAAGTGGGACACGGAGAAAAGGGTGCTCAGAAAGCCTTCCCGATTTATAAGCGAAGCTCTCAATTCTACCTGGCTCTTCGTGAGGCATTCCTAGGTCTCTCCACCCGAGGGGTGACGGACCCTAGCCCCACGGCCCCCCACCCACCGCGCCGGGCGGCGGCGCAGATAACCTCGCTCCACCCTGAGCCTCCCATCCCGTCGGTCTTTCGCTTCCTGGCGCAGGGCGCGGGCTCAAAGCGTAGTGATCCGGGAAGTGCAGGTGCCGTTACGAAAGACGCCTCCGGATTCCAGGTTCTCGGGCTGGAAGTCCTCCACGCTGTAGGCGCGGCTCTTGAGGGCTGTGGCGTAGTAGTCGACGGGCTCTTCCGCGGCGTTGTCCATCCAGCTGAGGCACAGGATGCGCTGGAAAGAGCGCTTGAAGTTGTCCGAGAGGAAGCCGTAGAGGATGGGGTTGGCGCAGCTGTTGGCGTAGCCCAGGATGACGGACAGCTGGCTCACCGTGGCATCGTCCTGCTCAGCGAACACGTTTACCAGCTGCACCACGTAGAAGGGCATCCAGCAGATGACAAACACCATCACCACCATCATGACCATCAGGGTGATCTTGCGCTCCGAGCGCTTGCGCTGCTGCCAGCCGGCCTTGAGGGCCACCATGCGCATCTTGGCGATGATGAGAACGTAGCACAGGCAGATGGCCCCGACGGGGAGCAGGAAACCCATGAGAAACGTGTACAACACGAAGCCCACTAGCCAGCGCTGGGCAGGCTCGGGCATGAGCATGTTACAGGCCACTGTGCCGTCGCTGTTGGCCGCGGTGCGTGAGAAAAGCACGATGGGCAGGATGACGAGCAGCGACAGCACCCACACGCCCAGGTTCACCACCTTGGCCACGGTGGGGCGACGGTAGCGGGCTGCTTTGATGGGGTGCACCACGGCCACATAGCGGTCCACGCTGAGCACAGTCAGGCAGTAGATGCTGGTGAACATGTTGACCGCGTCCACACTGAGCACGAGGCGGCAGAGCAGGGCGCCGAAGGGCCAGTGGCGCAACAGCGTGGAGGTGACCAGGAAGGGCACGCTGAGCATGAGCAGCTCGTCGGCGATGGCCAGGTTGAGGATGTAGATGTTGGTGGCAGTCTTCATCTTCGCATAGCGCAGGATCACGTAGATCACCATGGAGTTCCCGCACAACCCCACCAGGCACACCACGGAGTAGATGAAAGAGATGAGGATGGCGCTGCCCTGGCCCTCGCTCAAGGTCCCGTTCTGGGACGCGTTTCGCCCAGGCTCCTCCATGCCTTCCGCAGCGCCGGCCCCGGGGCCCCTGCTGCAGCCGCCTTCGCTGCAGCTGCCCGGGCTAGGGCTAGGAGAGGAGGAAGGAGAGGAGGCGGTGCCATTGGGGAACATCCCAGCCGAGGGGGGCCGGTGGGGCTGCAGGCGCTGGGGAGTTCTCGAGCCCCCTTCGCCCGCGCCCTCCCTAGCCACCCGGCCGGTCGCCAGCAGCTCACAGCCACCTGGCGCCCCGGGGCAGAGAGCAGCGCGGGCGGAGAGAGCAGCTCCTACCAGCACCGGCAGTGCTCATCTCCTGGCGGCTGCCTGCGAGCTGGCTCTGGCGCTCGGGGCGTCTGGGCACGCGGGAGCTTGGAGAGAAGCGGCCAGGGGGCTAGAACCCGGCACGCAAAGCCATTAACTGGCGCAGCTCCGGACCGGTGAATGATTAATAGGCACCACCAGCGCGTCAGCAACTACCGAAGGGGGGGGGGCTAGGTGGTTTGTTCTCCCTCCCCCAATTTTTTCCTTCCCAGTCCTTCCCAGGCTCAACTACAGGAGCAGCTTAAGCGCTCCCTCACTGTACCTTGGCGCGCTCCCCAGAGGGACCAGGGGAGTGTCTCCGCCTACCTGGAGGGTAGCTGCGCGCCTGAGGTGCAAATTCTGTCCCACCCCACCCAACTCCGACCCAACGCAAAGACTGAAACGAACTCCAAACTGGCTATCTGGAGGTGATCTCAGTCCCCCACAGTTGCTGCCCCCTCCTGGGGAGAACCCTGGCTCCTCTCCAGGGATGCTCTCTGGGGCCATTAATTCCCACCTCCCACCCCGGATGGCCCTGCCCTTCAGACCTGCTAAGGAAGCTACGGGGCTCCTTCCCAGGGCGCTCTACCTCCGGACTGACGCGTAGAAGGCCGGTGCAAAGTGCATGTGGTCTGGGCGGCGCGCTGACGTTCTTCGCGCGGTCCGGCTCCCCTCTTGGGCTCGGCCCCCAGCACGAGTGCCCACGCGAATACTCTTGGAATCGCGGAAACTGGTCCTAAGCCTCGTACGTAATGAGCAGGAAGCGCCACAATGATGCTTTAGGGGATTCTGAGTCGCACCGCGCAGCCCTTGGGTGAGGGGATGCGGAGGTCTGAATGAACCACTGCCAATCTCTTAATAAAGCTCGTGGTGCCCAGAGCCCCCACCCGTGTTTCCCACAGGAATATCGACTGTAGAAACCGGGACGCGGAGCTGGGAGCTCCGGAGGAGCCTGAGACTCCCTCCGGAACGTGCCAGGCACGGTATTGGAAATTCATCTAGGTGTTCACTTGGGAAAGATAAGGCTGCCCACTCGGAAGAGCTCCGCCCACGTCCCAGCTGTACTTTGTACCCTGGAGAGTTGGCGGGCAGGGCTGGGGGGGGGGGTCTGGGGGGGGGGGGACGCTGGCTCCTCTAAGTGCCTGGCAGCTGCCCGTGAGGGTGAGAAGACCTGCCACCAACCTCAGGATCAAAGGGGCCACATTTGAGTTTTTCTATGTAATACTACTGCCCTTGAGGGATGGCTTGACTCTAGTTTCTGTGCCGAAACCACTAAGACAGACATGGACGTAGGCATGCCTGAAGCTTGCTGACTTCATCTAGAAATAGGTTTTTCGTGAAAGAATAGGTTTTTCAATTGCTATAATTTTAAAATGACCTCGGGGACATCCCACCATTTTCTGAGTTGAGGCTCTAATTGTCTTTCAGGTTGTCCCAGTCAAAGGAAGGACCACGGTCTAACCCCTAAATTCTTTTCATAAATGCTGCTTTGCTGCCCAAGACACCTGCAAATCTTTGTGGCAAGCATGTCAGTTCCCAGGAAGACTGACTTGTGGCAGTGTCTAGCTCCCAGCCTCTCAGGAGCTTGCTGTTTTCAGTTTCCCCCTAGTTCTTCCTCCTCCTCAAAGAGAAGGCACCCACTGTGCAATGAATCTTAGTGTTTGCTCCTCTCAGTACATTTACCCCAAGGAGAGGCAAACAGAAACTATGCTCACAGACACTATCTCTACCAGATAGTCTAGCATACAGAAATGGATGCAGAAATCAAATACAAAAAGTATAACGTCTAAAGCCCTGTTGCTTTGTCGAGGTAATAATTTACATATATGTGTTTTAATTCCCCAAACGAAGTGTTCTTGGAAGGGAAAGAACAACTTGCAGTGTGTTGATTTTAGCAATCAGAGATGAAAATAAATGACCACAGACTCTCATAGGAATGTGTGTGATGACATTGAATTATTAATGAGAAAGGTGTTAGGTTGGAATTTGAAATATCATAAGGCTGAGTTTAACTCATTACTTTATATAAATGGTCTTATCTACATTGGGACAGGGAATTGTTATTTCAGTTATATTTCTTTTTCCTTTGAATATCCAGCACATATGGAGAGAAAACAATGAATGTACATCAAGTTAGCCCCCATCCCAATAAAAGAGTAGTTTTTTCCCCCTAGAAGAACATTTTACTGTCAAACTTCATAGTGGTTTAGATGCCTCTGTCACTCGCTGACTAGAGACACCAGGTTCTATTTCAGGGACCTGACATGTCTGTCAACAGTCATCATTTAGAGGCATTGACCTAGATCATGATGGCTTTATGAGTAGTGGGTGAAGGGATTTGGCAAAAGATAGTTTTATCATTAGAACTTTATTATAATATTCACTCTACAGCTCATCTGAAAAAATACACTCAATTAAGTTGTGGTTTCACATACAAAATAGAAAAACTTAAGACCTGACATAAGCATATCCTCTCTGCTTGTGAATTGGTTTCTGTGATGGGCAATTTATCTATTAAAAGAGATTGACAATGAGGTATTACTTTACACCCACTAAAATGACTATAATAACTTGCAAAAACAGAAAATTAATGTTAGAGAGGATATGGAGAAGTTGGACAACTCATACATTGCTGGTGGGAGAAAAAAATGATGTAGGTTTAGAAAAATACATTTGGTGATTCCTCAAAAAGCCAAAGACTGAATTACCACATGAGCCAGCAATTCTACCTGTCTTTTACTCCTCAAAATTGAAAAAGATATTTGAATAAAAACTTGCACATGGGTGTTCTAATAGCCCCAAAGTGGAACCAACCCAAATACTTATCAATTGATAAAAGAATAAGCAAAAAGTGGTATATTCCTACAGTGGAATATTATTCATCCTTCAAAAGTAATGAATTGCTGATACATGCTACAGTATAGATAAATCTTGCGGATATTATGCAAAATGAAGGAGGCCAGGCACAAAAGGTCTTGTATTGCATGATTTCACTTATATGATATGTTCAAGATAGGCAAACACATAGGGATAGATACAGTAGCTGATTAGACCACTAATCTGCCAGGGGCCAAGGGAACAGGGAAATGGGGAAGAAGCACCCAATGAGCAGGAGGTTACGTTTTTAGATGAAGAAAATGTTCCTGGAGTTAGACAATGATGGTGGTTGGACAGCATTATGAATACACCAAAAACCACTGAATTGTATACTTTAAATATCTAAAATTATAAATATTATATGAATTTTATTTTAATAAAAAGTGGTTGAGACATATATAAGCCAAGCAGTGATACTAAATCTCTTCAGCAATGTTTTTGTCATTGTATCTGTGAATCAACTTATGAGCAAATAAAAACAGACAAAAAAAGGTGGCACTTCTGGGCTAAGCAACATGTAGATTGGAGATGTAGCTGCTTTTAAATTATACTAAGAGCAGAGACCAGTTAGGAATCTTGCCTTCCCCTGAGATCTCATGCAATATAAATTGTTCCCAAAGATATGGGGAAATTAATATAGGCTTGGGATTTCTATAATGCTCAAAAACCACAGCCTGTGAAAAGGCAGGACTCCATCAACTTTTTTTTATCATATTGAAAACTTTTATTTTTTTTTAACTCATACATTTAAAGTCTTGCAAAGTTTAGGAAGTGCTTCTTTTCTCCATGCAACCTGCCTGTTCTCGAGCTCTCCTTTCTTGGTTATCATGTTTCCTGAGCCTCCATAATAGAAACATTTCCAAAAAGAAGAAAAGGATGTTTTCCAGGAAGGGAAGGATGAAAAGCCCTAATCGAGGAAGCTTTGGATTCTTAAGCAGAGTATCTTCCCTCATTCTAAGTTTCTCCTACAAGTTGTACTCCCCTATGCTATCCTGGACCAGGTGCAGGCTTTGATTATTGCATTCATCACAACGTATTGTGATATTTTTGGTGTGTACTTGTCTGTCCCACCTTATAAATCTGTGAGCCATTGAGAATGGGAGCTATATTTTATTTATCTTTCTGTCCCCAGAACCCAACACAATACCTAGAAAATCACCTGAAATCTCTTTATTTTGTTGTTTCAAGGCATCCCATGGATACTACTACCTTTTGACGCAAAGACATGAACTGTGAGCTTCTTATAAGAAAAGCTTTAATGCCTGGGTAATATTATCATCTGTAATAATTCCTTCTACATTTAAATCATTCGGAGTGATTCCAATTTGCATGTCCTATATCAACAATTATTATGCTGATGATTCATTCATTGATCATTCTCGGTCTTAAATTTCTTGGCAGAGAAAAGGCTCTGGAAAATGGGTGGTACATGCTTTAGTAGCTAATGATGGTTATTTAATAGTACCATGCAGTGTGAAAGCCATTATACATGGAAGATCGTTTCTTTTTAATTGCAGTCCTGAGTCTCAGTTGGTTTGATGAAATTGTAATTATCAGGAGCTCCAATTCTGCTTCTGCCACAATCATTAGTAATGTGGTTTTTCCAGTTGGAACCTATAATAATTCTCTGGTGAACTCCTCTAATCTATGCCAGTAGTAAAGGGCTAATTATGGCCAGGGATTAAAGAGGACACTTCCTGCAACATGTTCTGCAGGGGCATCAACATCAGTCATGTTATAAATACCTGTCTGGGCAGATGGGATCAAGCTGACTAGAAGGGCAAGCACTGCTCAGCCATATGGTCCAAAGTGGAGGATATGCCCCTTAAGGATCATCTGCCATGAAGCAGCTAACATGATAGCAGTCTAATAAGAAAGTTACTGGGGTACAAAGTGACTACAGGGCTGAGGAGCATTCTAAACTTCATTTCCCAGGGAGGCCCAATCACTTCACAGCAGTCTCGGTAGCCTGTGGTTCAGTTCATCACCACTCTCAGCAAATTCACCCAGGTCCGCTGATTTTCCTATCGCCTCTTCTGTGAAACAGCATGATACAGTCTTTTTCGGTGTGCTTTCTGAAAAGACATATTTATTGTAACAGTTCCCATTTTACCCTATGGATTCTCTATTGCTAAATAAGGTTTCTAAGAACAAGAATTCAGCACATATAGGCAAGTATTCATTGTTATTAACTGATAAATAAAAATAGAACCAAAGTGGTTACCTGTATTACTTTAGATGTTACCTGTATTACTTTAAATCATCTTTATCAGCAACACATTTTTCTGTAATAAGTTCTCTGTTAGTTAATGATTATAAGGTAGCTTGCATTCATTTAAAAAATTGCGTCAAAATCCTCTTTTTGGTCTTTTTAGCAGAAATCAAAAAAATGCTTCCAAAGTCACAAAACTATATTTGATTTCTTTTGATACCTCAATTGATGTTTGATTTTTAGCAGAAGATTTGAAGATTTACAGCAAATCACCCATTCCTTAAGAATGGCTCTTCTTTTGCAATGGGCTGTATCTGTCAATCAGCTTCATCAGTTAATTAAGAGCACAAACCTCAGCATAGGACTGGGTAGGGAAGGAAAGCCAACTTTATAGATGAAAGCTACGTATGCAGGCAGCTCACCATTATGGTGTTGCCATTTTGTTCCAGTTCTAAATATGCTGATGCAGGAATCTAGACACATGTTCTATCAGCCCAATCACTGTTTTATGTAGATGTAAATAATCACCTTAATTGGCTGAGCTTTTCTTCTTTTCCTAGTTAAATTGGAACTTTCCCATGACAGTTAATCATGATACATCAACTTTGAATGGATTAAGAAACACCCAGAAGATTGGAAATGCACAATTCTGGGTGTGCCTGTGGATGACTGGGTCACTAGCTCACTTCCTCTTTCTGAGGCTGGGCTGCCTCTGGCTGACAAATGCTAGGTCCTGTCTCTGCTCTGCTTTCTCCACACAGCATAAAACAACATTATTTGTTGGCATCGAGGAAACAGCCTGCGAAATAGCATGATTTGTTTCCTGGTAGAAAGAGGGATCAGAAGACAACATTGTCCAGGTGGGGACACTTGGCCCCTGATGGTAGTAGAAATGCATTACTTTTTGTTGACTGTGTGGATCAGTCAAACTTCACTATTTATGGAA